ATCACCATGAACTCTCCCTCCCTTCGGACCCCTTCACTGTTGACACTGCGGCTACTCCTGTGTCACTAATCACAATCTGATGCTGCAGTCTGTAGTGTCTTCAGTGTACTGTGTACATACTATAGGCTGCAGACCACAGTTTGAGAACCAGATGAAGATGTGATCAAGAGTCACTGTCAACAGGAGAGGAGTCCAGTGTTGTCGTGTCACCATGTTGGTCGTGTGTTTGTTTTGACATTTGTGAAAATTTGTCAATTTGTAGAATTTGTCCTTGTGACTCAGTCGACTCTTCTGTAACTGGTGACTTTGCCGTACAGTGTCTCTACTGTCGGCGTGGCTGCCTCCTTAGGCCATTCCGCTGTGGCATAGACTGTGTCAAGTTCTTTGGGATTCTCAGGCCTGGATGAGATTGGACTCTGGAAAATCTGGAAATCAACAACAAAGTGGAACTGATCGTCAGCAATTATATTACTTTAAAATCTGCTGTTGCAGGAGTGAAAATAAAATACTTTAAAGAGAAGAAAAATCAAACTCCACGGTCAGTTCAGAAAGACAGACGACCCAGGGTTGCAAAGCACTGGTCGACTTGTAATAAGGTGTGAAAAAAGGACAGGAGGAAAACAATCAACTGTTGACTGACAAATCTGTGGACTGTGTCCTCTGGGACGAGCTGTCCAAGATGGAGGCACGCACAAGTGCCCGTGACACAAATCAGGCAGTGACAGAGGAGAATGAATATACGTGACCATTTTGTGTGGTCCAATGGGATGGGAGTAGATGTTTACCTGAGGAACTTCATAAATCGTATTTCCAGCTGTTGCAGTAGCTGCAGGTAAATACAACATAAATATTCAGAATTGTTTTTAAAGTTTTATTTTGAAAAACTGTTTTTTTATTTTTCCTGTTTTCATCAGGGCTGTCAAGGTTTACACATACATTGCATTAATTAATTCTTTTGAACACATGGCAGAATGATGAACACTGTATCCTGTAATTCTACCGTCCAGTCTCTTATCATCGCTCTAATACGTTATTATTTGTCCACACTGTGGAAAAAAGGTTTAGTTCCACTGAAGAACATGGATCTAAAATATGTTTACATGTTTATATCTCTGGTATATCTGACAATACAGTTGTCTTGACTGGACTATGATAGTACCAGCAGGACCGCACCTCGTCAGGGGGGGGCCCTGAGCATGATTTTCATGTGCCCATCTATGGACCCAACACTTTTGGAAATCTATCAAAATATAAAACAAGTTCCAAGCACACACTAGAAATTATTGCTACTATGCACTGATTCAAAGACAGGGAAACCTGCCCTTTAATCAGACTTATATTTCAAAATGTATATTTCCTGTCAATGAATGTATCAGACATTTCACACATTTCTATTCTATCAATTCTCTCTGTTAGCAGCTGTCTCTAGGTCCCAGTCCGCCCCTCTTTCTTCAAAGTTGTCATGTGACCAGGTGACACAAATGTTTTTCTCATGTTACTGTCAATCTACTTCCTGAAGATATACAGTGAAATCCTCTTACCTGGTCTATGTTTCCTGTAAAATAAGATGAAAATGACAACAAGGCAAATCACCACAGTGACCCCAACAACAGATCCAATAATGATGAAGAATCTGGAACCTGAAATCAAATGAGAGAGAGAGATTTTTGTTGAAAAGAACATTTCCACAGATACTTCAGGGGTCAACAATATGTCAGAACATTTGGAAAGATGACAGACGTCATAATAACGTTTCCTACCACTGTCTGTGAAGCAGAGCTGAAGGATTTCTTCTGTAATTCTTCGCTGACTGACATTGTTGCTGAGCTGACATACAACTAAGTTGTCATGTGACAGGAAGAGACTAAGGACAGCACCAGAGACTGTGTCCCTGGATGTCTCTGTCTCCTGCAGACTGCAGTCACTGGAGTTACATGAAACAGAGTTGGTGATGAGCTCAGAGTCTGCTGTGCTGCAGGTCACATTCAGGTCACAGTGAGCTGAGCTGCTGGACACACGGGTGACGACCAGATTTGGTCTCGACACCATGTCTGAGTGAAGGAGGGAAAAAAACAACAACATAAGAGTTCAGTATAACAAGTGATGGTTGTCTTGGTATTTGAACTGACTTCATAGAAACCTACCTTGGACCATGACCTGGTATTGAACCAAACACTTTATTTTACGTCTTGTTTGAAGCTCAGCACGGTACAGTCCACTGTCATTGTTTTGTGTGTTCTTTAAAAGCAGTGACTTGTTTTCTGCAGAAATGAAGGCCCTGTCTGTATAACTGTCACCTTGTTCTGTATCATTATCATCAAAAATAGTTACTATAAAATATGTTCTGTTGAACGTCCATCTAAACAGATCACGTCTACTCAGGACGACAGGAGCCGTGACATTCAGACGTAAGTCCTGACCCGTCATGACAAACCAACTCCTCTCATCACTGCAGTCTGGAACTAGAAAGAGAAACTCATTAAAGACTGAGACAAATAAGCATTAAAAAAACAATCAACTCCATTCAGAATAACAAGTGATGGTTGTCTTGGTATTTGAACTGACTTCATAGAAACCTACCTTGGACCATGACCTGGTATTGAACCAAACACTTATTACGTCTTGTTTGAAGCTCAGCACGGTACAGTCCACTGTCATTGTTTTGTGTGTTCTTTAAAAGCAGTGACTTGTTTTCTGCAGAAATGAAGGCCCTGTCTGTATAACTGTCATCTTGTTCTGTATAATTATCAGCATAAATAGTTACTATAACTTCTATATTGTTGAACGTCCATTTAAACTGATCACGTTTACTCAGGACGACAGGAGCCGTGACATTCAGACGTAAGTCCTGACCCGTCATGACAAACCAACTCCTCTTAGCACGGCAGTCTGGAACTAGAAAGAGAAACTCATTAAAGACTGAGACAAATAAGCATTAAAAAAACAATCAACTCCATTCAGAGCAAACGGTACACAGTTTTTTCTACTCCATTTAGATCTTCTAACTGACGTGAATGAAGCCTCCCGTCACTCAGTGGCAGCAACTCATACAGTGGTTTGTACAGATAAAAATATACAAGTTATCAGGTTCTCAATAGTATTTCAATTTGCGGGTGTGTGGCTCGAGGGGGACGTGTGAATCCCCGCTCCGATGGGGGCATAATAGGAAATAATTGTGAATCACTGTTCTACAGGAAGGACAATAATTAGTCAATAAAATTAGCAGGGCTCCACGGCCCTCTCAGGGGGTCCACCCTTCATTCCTGGCCCACATTTAACCAGGTCAACTGATAGTTGACGTATAACTAATATGTTTTAAAGTCTGGGCTGAGGCCTTTGACCACATTCAGATTATTTTATCTTCACTCAGTAACAACTGCTCAACTGAATGATTTTTCAGAACACGAAGAGGAGGAAGTGGAACAAAATGAAGAACAAGAAGAAATTACAACAGTTTTTTTTCTACCGGTTTTTAGACCAGATGCAGCTTCTGATTGAAGGACAACAAATTTATGAACTTTGCGGTTCATAATCCTCTAGATCGGTCTGACTAACACACATTAAGGTGAGAGGTAAGAAAAACTCCTTTCTTTTTCACCTTGTTGTTTTACAACTGTGAAAATATTAAACATAAATAAAAGGAAACTATGTTTTAAATATTTCAATTAATATATACATGAATCAATTCATCAGTGACATCAACAACACAGCAAGGAAAAAAGTAATAAAAAAATATTTTTTTACCTTGAGCCGCACACCAGACATGGAGAGAAAGACAAAGAAGAAGAACATGGGTGAACATCCTGACTGTGTGATGTAGGAGGAAGTGGTTTCAACTTGTACATATGGGCTGTGCATAACTCTTAGGAGGATGATGACGACCTTTAGAACAACCCAACAGCAGCAGTGACAGGCAGATACATCAGTACTGCTGCTGTTTAGGTTTCTGCCAGAGAAGATAAACCATCAGAGAACTGAAAAGTACAAAAGCACTCTTCTGAAAGGAGGCCTTCAGGAGGGAGTCTACGTAAAAAAGTCACCTACAACAACTGCAATGACAAAGAAACAAAGACCAAGAAAATGTTATGAAAGGTTTAAAGACATCAGTCAGTTTTTATGAGTGTCATGGAATAGAAAACATGTCAGAAAGTATTTCCTGAACTCAGCTTTATTCATGTTTTTTGGAAAGAATTATTATAATTACAATTATTATTCATTATCTGCAGCTGCTCTTTACACACTAACAGAGTTTTACAGATGTATGTTAGCTAAAGACATGCTACAGTTTCCACCTGCAGCGCTAAATACAGCCATTACCATGACTAACATTCCATCACCATCAACATAACTGATGATCGTTCACGTACAGACCGGCAGCCATTGTTAAAACATCACAACATCATGAGTTCTTACCACATCTTTGTTGTGTAGTGGCTTGGTTGTCAGTGGTTTGGGGCAAAATGTCTGTAGTTAATTTTTCAGCGTTAGAAACAAAACAGTAACTTTATCACAAACAAAGAATTCCTTCTTCACATCTGAAATGCACACTAACATTTTCCACCTATAAATGGACATCTGCTGTCCACAACGTGGGTCATTTTTCCAATCCATCCAGTGTAATGTGTAAACTTCCACGTTGAAGCTTCCGTAAAAGAACTTCAGCTACAGTGAGAGGTAACTGACAAATCTGTATGAGGGTGTACGTAGGAGTGGCAGTGAGGTACGTGACAGTTAGGCAGGTGGTGTAAGTGTAAGGACGGATGTTTGAAGTTGTGTAAAGTGTGAAGTCAGTGTAACTGACGGGTGTGTGCTCAATGGGGAACGGGTTGACAAACGGCCTTTTACAGTCAGTGGAAGTAGCACTATAATGCAATTAGAGTGTATCTATTGTGTATTTCTAATAGAATCTACAAAGTATTTCCCTAAGGTCAAATCCCAGTCGGCCAACCTTCCTAAGGTGCAAATAAATAAAGTGTCACATGGAGCCAGTGTCATTAAGCTGATTGTTTATGTCGTATTCCATATAGTCTAACTTGTCACTGCAGGAGGGTTCATTGCAGTGGCAAAGGTGAAGTAAAGATGAGTTGGCCATGCACCATATTTTGCCCAGGTCCGATCTTTACTTTAGAGGAGGCAATTAAATGCCTTATGGGCCATGCACCATATTTTGTCCAGGTCCGATCTTTACTTTAGAGGAGGCCGTTACAACAGATGAAAGACCAGATCCAGGAAACAAGAAAAAAAAAAATCATTGGACTTGAATTGAAACAAGAAACACAAGAAAAAAGATGGTTCACCCTGGAGAAGATAAAACTCGCAGAGAGGGGAGGAAAGTAACAGTTCTATTTAGAAGAAATGAGGAGCAGTAACAAGACATGCGAAGGGCGGGGGGGGTTAACGTTGGGCCGAGGTAGGTGAATGAGTGTGGAAACAGAGAGACCAAAAGTTTGAGTGTGAAAAAACAAGCTTAACCTCAGTGGCTGAATGTGTCATTTTCATTTCATTTCTGTCATTCAAGTTCCAACATTCTCTTCAGCCGCGATGACAGTATTATTTGTAGCAACAGATTAAACATAAAGTGAGCCCTTCAGATGCAGTACATCTGCAGTATCCAGCTTTGTAAGTCATAATTCATACATTGTATATGAGAGATGGTCTTGACCATCCTGTTGAAAAAGTACCTCATTAGCTGTAAAAACATTGATATCCTGAAATAATTATTCTTTTTCTATTTATGTGTTGCACATTACATGACATATTTTGAGCACATTTCAATTTGAAAAGCATGGTCTCTGTAACTTACTCTCACAACCCTGTGGCTGAGGGGATTTTGTGCTAATATTTTTATTGAAACTATATGTCTCACCTCTTCATGAGTTTTTCCCCTTTTCATACGTTTAGGGAAACTACAGTAGGTATTCAGCCCACCACAGTTTCCATGTATCCAGATTCAGTCAAAAATGAATAATTTAAGACCTTTTGTTTGTTTGTTTTGCAGCCTCTGAGGTGTGGCATCCATTTTTTTGTGAGATACGGCAAAACAGAAGTGAGATGTATCAAGTTTTAATACTATCATACTATCACTTCCTGTACTTCCAGGGACTGATGTGACTTGGATAAAATGTGGGGATTTACAAGGGTGAATTGATATATTTTTCAAAAATCAATCAAGTGAGCTACTGTATATGCAACTTTCACATGAGAGTATGTGCATGAGATACCATGTTCTGTAAGCCCATGGTTCCGTGCTTATTCAAAAGGCAGTCTCGGTGGCCTATCAGTAGGAGAGAACAGCGACTGTATGTTGTTTATTTGTTCTCATGATTCAAACCTGTGTTTAACACGTCTCACTGCAGCAAATGTATGGCAGTCACCACCCAAACACACAGTCATCCTCTGTCTTTGTCATGAGTGTCATTTGGTGTGACCATCGACCAAATGTCGTACTCATATACGTATGTTCTAAAAAGTCAAACTTCAAAAAAGCTAATTACGCCCAACGCCGCAGTTATTTGTTTCATGTCAGTGGTTTTTGCCGTTGTTGTTGTTTGTTCACACGTTACTGATGCGGACGCTCAGAGAGTTGTCTCTGGCCCGACTGTGTTCCTCCACGGCCCTCTCTCTGTAGCTCTGCTCCAGACGAACCTTCTCTGGATCAGACACTTCAGGAGAGACTGCTCCTCCTCCACCTCCACCTCCACCTCCACCTCCACCCACACCGCTGCTGGGATACACATGCTGGGGGCTGGGAGGTTTGAACAAAGGTGTGGTCTTGGTCTTGGCCACTTTGTCAAAGAAGGCAAAGTCTGCCACGTATTTACCTGACGGAGACATGGAGACCACTGGGGGGAACTCATAGCCCCACAGGATCTCATCGGGCAGGTAGGAGGTGCGAACCTGGCAGGTGGCAGAAGTGGGCTCCACCGTGGCGTTCATAATCACCAGCAATTCAAAGTCTGCCAGTTCTGGATCGGTCCAGCCCCCACCTGGTGTAGGCAGAGTACATGAAATTAAAAAAGAGGGTTCGTTAATGAAGCAATAAAAAAGACTAATGGTATGGAAAAAGGAGGAACTAGAGAACGACCTTTGACATCAGTTTACAACCTGCTTCTTCATCTGTTTTAAGGATTGAAATCCATATTCTTTAAATGTTGTTTCAGTTTTTACAGGATAATTTTTTAAAAATTCTGATGGTTCTAGACTGAGCTGATTTCCATTCATGTTTGGTTAAAAATGTGTTGTTTCTCCTGATTTGAAAATGCTACATTTTTGAGGGTTCAATAAAAAAAAGATGAAATCAAATCTTAACTCAACTGAACAACTGTCAACACAAACACAGTCTGAATCTGAGCTCTTTTGGACTCACTCATCTATTCCTTCTTACCCTTGGCTGCCCAGGCTCGCAGTGGGCTGCTGTCATCAATCACATGATAAAAAGTGAGGGGCAGGATCAGAAAGGGGCTGTCGCTGGAAGTGTCCACCTGGAATGGGACGTTCCTCTGGTCTAGACGGACCGTCTCACCTTCTTTGGTGAGAGAGGTCTGGAGCAGTTTCCCATTCACCTGGACGAAGCAGTGTGTTTGAATGTACTTTTGTGCTACAGTAATATGGCGTGTACACTACACTTACCTGACAGCCAATGAGAAGACTCTTGCGCATGTTGGCAACTCTGATCATCAGACAAGGTCTACCCTCATGTGTGGACACCACAGCGTGCTGGCTGAACTTCACTGTCTCTCCTCGCTTTTTTGGACGAGCCAGCTGACCCGAGACAGGACTTGTTAAAATCCAAACTACTCAAGGAAATATACACTTTCTTCACTAAAGTCAGATGTTTGATTTTTGGCTATACCTTAGCCAGGAAAGTACCAGTGATGAAGATCTCCATCAGCATGGTGATGACCAGCTGGACGATGAGGAGGACGATGGCAGCCGGACATTCTTCGGTGATGCAGCGAAAACCATATCCAATGGTGGTCTGGGACTCCAGGGAGAAGAGGAAGGCTCCCGTCAGGGTCTGCATCTGCATCACACAGGGTGTGTGGTTGGATGGAGGGTCAAATTCTAGAGAAAGAGAAACATTTATAACTTGGTGCATTTTATATTTATTTACGCTTTTTTCAGAGCTATACATTTTTTTAAATTTTAGAGTTATTTATCAGCTCTTAAACTGATGTAAACTAGAGCTTGGACTTTGAGTTGTATAAGTTCATGATTGTGTGTAAATTGTTTAACAAAGAGTTGACAATTAGTGAATGACAACAACAGGTAAAACCGGATGGTCTTACATGACCTTTAACAACATCATTATAACAATCATCACTATAAAGATTTAATGAGTTTTGAAACTTCATGGCCTGTTCAGCATTTAATTGAAAGAGCATTTCAGCCCTCCCAGAAAATGGACCCACTGCCATAGGAACAGTTCCCTTCTTTTTTAACTGCTCCACATTCTCACCCAACAGGTCTCCATGCACCAGAGCCACCAGGTACCACAGGACACCAAACAGGAACCAGGTCCCTGCAAACGTTGCAGTAAACAGGAAGAACTTATAGCGCCACTGCATGTCAAGGAATGTGGTCCACAGGTCACGTATGTAGAGGGCGCTCCTCCCTCTGATGTGATCAATTCGGATGTTGCTACGTCCATCCTTGGAGAGAACACGCCTCCTCTTTCTCAGAGTCCCACCTCCACCAGAGTTGGCCCCCAGTAGTGGTTTCAAAATGTCAGTCTGTGTCTGAGAGTGGCAAACCTTCTGAGGGGAGGGACTACGAGAGGAAGGAGGTGTGGCAGACGTCATCTAATGGATAAAACAATGAGAGCAGGTTAAAAAATATTTCATTTGTCAACTTAACTGGGGTGCACTGGCTAAGCAGCGAAAAAATTAAGAGATTTTAGATCAAATGATATCCGTATAATACTGATTCTGTTGTCGCATTACGAAACTATAAACAGAAATGTTTTTGTTGACACTGACAGTTAGGAATGTAATGATGCATCAGGAATCTGTTAAAAATTGATGCAAATGAATGACAATTTGCTTCCACTGAAATAAAAAACGTGTTTCATGCGTGTCTAAATGTGAACAGGCTGCAAACAGTTAAGACACAAGTGTTTCTGAGAATGTTCTGTGCGGTCTGATGGGGCTGTGACTTCCTGTAATGCATATATATGTAATTTTTTTGATGGTTTCACTGAAGAGACGTGCTTGTCTCCCCACAGTTATTTCCTCTGTGAACCAATATAAGTTTGTACTGATTATCTCTGAGTTTTGTCTGCCCACAAACAAGATGCAAAACGAAATAGGTCAACCATAACATGAAAGGATTATCGTAGTGTCGAGAACCAGCAGGTGGTTGGTTATAAATGTAACAGATAACATATTAACATTTACCCTGTCATACTGTATATCATTTAACTTATTTGGCAACTACTGAGTAGATTACTGAACAGATGTTTTCTGAAAAAATGAACCAACAGGACCTGGCTGCGTCAGTGTCAGGGAGTGAGCTGCTGCTAGATCACTCACTTTTTTTCTGTCACAAAATACAATGGAACTTCAATGGGTTTCTCAGCCCATGTGAACAGCTGTTTGAAACCATTAAGAATAGGTCTGGTGTGAAAGAGAAACTGCTAATGAAAACACCACCGGTGTCAGACCTGAGGTGTCAGACAAATTGTTTTTTTAGTATGTTTGTTTGAAAGTTGAAAATGCAAAAATAAAACAAATATGCACAAAGGCTTCTGTTGGATAACTGTCTTCTAAAAATGTAAAGTGGTAATAAAGAGGAAGTCTCCCTGGGAACTTTCGTTGGCCTGTAGGGGAAGTAAAGAACTTTCAAAAAGTCAAACTATTAAATTAGATTTGCAAATCTATATATATATATATGTAGTCTCAGTGTATGAAACAGGTGTACAAACCATATGCTCAAATACAGTGGCTTAGAGTAGGAAAGCTAAAGGAAGGCTATCAGTTAACTCTGATACGAAAAGCCAAGTAGCTAATAAAATGAGGCTTGTATCTGTTATAATTCACCACCACAGTTAACTCTGATACCAAAAGCCAAGTAGCTAATAAAATGAATAAAAATGAGAGGGTTGTGCCAGGCTTGTATCTGTTATAATTCACCACCAGTTTTAAATATGTCTAGTGTGTAAGTCAAAGCACACAAACGCAGAGACAGAACAGTAATGTCACGAGCAGTCGCTGAAAAACACACACTTACGTCCAAGACAGCATGTCGGCCGCAGGAAAAGGATAGTCCACAAAGGAGACAGAAGGCAGAAAAGAGGAAAAGAAGAGAAAAGAGGAGCATTAGGGTGAAGATGTCCCCATTAACAGTCACACAGTGTCCACACAGGGGTTCATTTGAGATGAGAAAAGAAGGAGAATGAGTGAAGGAGTCAGTTTAAGTGAAATAAATCAGTTTCCCAGAGCTTTATCTCGATGAAGTTTGTTTTTTTACCTCCTCTTTTAAAGGTTCTACTGTTGGTTCTAAATGAAGAAGCTGCATGTGGACAAAGAGTGACCTTCTGATGGGAAACAGGAGACGGCAGTAAGAGTTTGGTAGGAAAAGGGCCAGAGTTTGTCTTTGAGGGCTTCAGCCTGGCCCGTTGGTCCTCCTGGTACTCATCCATTCATCCATTCATTCATCTTACACAACTTAATACTTTTCAGGGTTCCAGGACAGAAGCTGGAGCCAATGACAGCAGCTGTTCACACATTCACACCAGTGCAGTTTTCCTACACCAAAGGGGTTGTGGGTTCGATTCTAGACCCCAGGTAAATGGAAGAAACCTGAAGTTTAAAGTGCTCGGAGTGGAGATCAGGACTAGAAAAACTACGTACTGTCCAAGTACAGACATCAGAAAACAAACTTCATCAGATAGAGCATTAAGAAATTAAGAAATTTAACAAGCAAAAAAAACATTATCATCCAAGTTTGACCAGTGGTTTTCAAACGAGACCAACCACTCACACTACATCTGCCCCAGGTGCAGGTCTAACTGTCAGGTTCCTTTTCTGGTCACTTATTGTAGTTTCACACGAGATCAAATTTACGCTTACTTCCTGATAATAGATAACTCATAATAGCAGAAACCTGGTCAGAAAGTAATTTCTTGACGTCATAGGAAAGGTTCAAGAGAAACACTGCTCTGTACGAGAACTTCAAACTTTCCACCAGGTGCAGTCAAAACGGAAATTTTGAGTTCCAATGATGCCAACCGTGACAACCAATCAGGAAGTGTATATTTTGGGCCACAGTGTGAACGTAAATTAAATAACTTCTCCCTACATGCTCTGCTAATCTCTGATTATGTCATCAATCACCCAACTACAAAAGGACCGAGGTGAAGCCCTCACAACTGGTACAACATCACAAGGGCACCATTGAAAAGTTCACGCCCTCAACTCTGTGTCACACACACACACACACACACACACACACACACACAGTCGTATCAGGTGAATAATAATAGAGCAAACGTTGGTAGATGTTTGGGACCAACCTCTCCAGCAGGATGTATTCCATCTCCATCTGTTCTGAACGGCCACGTCCAGAAATCTGAATCAGAACTTTTACTTTTGGTCCAACAAACGAACCCCAAATGTTTTTCTGAACTCTCGCTTTCTTTTACTCTCACTTTTTTTTATCCTTTGCTCTCTCTCTCTCTCTCTCTCTCTCTCCTCTGTGTACACAGGAATGCTTTGTTGAAGCCAAGATAAAAGAAACAAAAGACACCATTGACAAAAACCACTCTGTGCCCATTCATGTGTGTGTGTGTGTGAGAGAGAGAGAGAGTGATGGAGGGAGAGAGAGAGAGAGTTAGTATGTGAGAATGGTTTTGCAATTACACACATAATTCTGTGTGTGTGTATGGGTGTGCATGCATAATAATTTCATGAAAACGTGTTTGTGAGCAATAGTGGAAATTGTTTAGTGTGAATGTGTGTGTGTGTGTGTGTGTGTGCGTGATCAGGATGAGTGAAAAGGGGAAAAATGAGGAGAGGAAGAGAGGGGAAAGAAGAGATCTGTGACAAAAGGCCCTCGTTAGTATTCTGGAGTAAGGAGTAATCCCTCTCCACACACACACACACACACACAGCACACTTCTCTCTCTTCACTTTGTTTCCTCCAGACTTCACCTCCTGTCATTCGTCCTTTTTTGAGTCATATACAGTTGCATGAAAAACTTTGGGCACCCCTGACAATTTGCAATATTTCCATTTATAAATCACTGGGTGTTTGGATCAGCAACTTCATTCTGAAACAGAACAGCAGAATTACACAGGTGCAGAAATGTGGGCACTTGTGGTCCTTCTGTTGATTTGAACACCTGTAACTTCTTAGCACTGATTAAATGGAACACAAAATGATCTTGGTGAGCTCATCAATTCTTGTTAAGGCCAGAAGTGGCAGACCAAGACAAATATCAGGTGAACGTTGGTGAGAATGTTCAAAGACAAACCACAGACACCCACTAAAGAACTACAACATCATCTTGCTGCAGATGGTTTATCTGTGAAATTGTTCAACAATTCAGAGCAAGGAGAAGCTGTACAAAAGACGGAGTCGATTGAGGTATACAAAAGGACATCTGGACAAAACCAGCTTCATTTTGGAACAAGGTGCTGTGGACTGATGAAACAAACAAGGGGCGTTATGCACGGTGGCGAAAGAACACAGGATTCCAAGAAAAGCACTTACACAGTAAAGTGCTACCCACAGTAAAATGTGGTGGAGGATCCATCATGCTGTGTAACTTATAGAAAACGTCTAGAAGCTGTTATTTTGGCAAAAGGAGGATCTACTAAATATTGATATTTTTTCTTTTGTTTTGATGCTTATTGCACATCCCCTGTTAGTCCAATAAACGTAGTTTCACTTCTGAAATATTACTGTGTCCATCAGTTTTTTTGTTTTTTGTTTTTTTTTGATAAATCAGAATGAAGTTGCTGATCCAAACACCCAATGATTTATTAATGAAAATAATGGAAATTGTCAGGGGTCCAGAAATTGATCCCAATTTGCAAAAAATAAATCAAATGTGAAATCCTGCTAATTAAAAATAAAACTATCCAAGACATTACAGAAAACACAAATTCACATTATTACTACAGTCTACAGTCATTGCTGGTTTTATATCTTAGAATATAGTAGAATGGATGGAAAGTCTCTATGGTCATGGTATAACTGTGAATTACACCTCTATTTGTTCATTCCATGTAAAAAATAATAGAAAAATAAATATAATAAAATAATAAATAATAATAAATATATAATAAAATATATAATTTTAAATAGCTGTAAAGTTGACACAGTCAACAACACCTTTGCTTTCTTGTTCTGTGCTGCTTTCTTTGCTAAATATTTCTGGCAACTTTTTTTTCTAGTTCTGGCCTGTCACACAGTGATATTTTATCCAAAAACTGTCTTGGCTTATAATTAGCTAACCTTTTAGTTATATCATGCCACTAAACCTAAAGCTGTAGTGCTGATTTGCTGTGATTTAATCATGACAACTCATTATGAAAATCGTTGCCAGATTGGAAATGAAACCTCTGTGAGTGATTTTTTTTTTCTTGTTTTTCAGCTCTAAGTTATGTGCATTGATTTGTTTTGAATATACTTAGATTTAATTCAATCATTGTTTATTGTAAACAAATGCAACTAATAGAGAATTGTTTTTTCATGTGACATACAGATTTATATTTATGCAGATGGGAATAAGCACAAACCAAAATATCAACATAAAATAAGAAACTGACCCGACATTTATATTTCATCATTAATTGAAATACATTTTCCTGTATACATTGGATGTGATTTTTGACTTGTGACTCATAAATGTCTTACCTTATCCAGCAGAGATTACAGATTGTCAGGTGGATGATGGAGAGTTTGGAGCCTGCAGCCTTAGCGTCTCTTCAGCCACATGTCTGCTTTGTTGTCAAACATGCTCACAGATCAGGGACCTGACTCCGGTTCTGCAGGAGGAGTAATTTCAACAGACAGTGTCCCTGGACATTCATACACCATTAGGGAGAATTATCGGTCCAGTCATTTGCTCGCACACTCGGGCCTCTGTTTCTGCCCCAAAAGCCTGGTCTCACTGCTCACAAATTCTCCCCTGAGAGACAGGACGTGGCTTTATAAGAGGCATCTCTCTCTCTCTCTCTCTCTCTGCTTCTCTCACTCATTCACTTTTCCTTTTTCCCTCCATCTTTCTACCTCACCCATTCACTCCTGAATTCCTGTTGTGTCCTGCAAATGTCTGTGTAATTGCTGTAACAACTGATTCCCACTCCATCCAGTCTTCATTGTCAACCTGAAAAATACAAATGAAAACAAATAGACAGAAGCGGATTAGGGAGACATGAAAAAATAAATGGATCAGACTTTTCTTCTCAGATGTTTGAGGAAAAAGAGTCAACAGGGTGACACTGTCTGTGCTTTCTTCTATTACTTCAAGTGACTGACGTTGGTTTTCAAACTCATCACCTGTTCTACTGCCTCCACATGAGCATCAAAACCCAAATCCTCAGGCTGATTAAATAACCCGTGCTTAAAATGATCAACTGACAAATTGCATTTCAAATTACACTAAAATTTAGAAATGAAAACCTGTGTTATCTTCAATAAGAACCTCATTGTAACCTGCTGTTCAAGTGGAACAGCATTGTGTCTTTACACTGACAACAGTTTTACTATAAGCTTTAATATACAACATTTTTCAGTTCCAACAAATAAAATAAACCCAAAATTTGCCTAGGTTTGACGCTGTCCATGGGTTGTATTACTGAACGGCACTTTTTTCTGTGTTTTACAAACTTGGTCATAAAACTTAAAGACCTAAAAAAATAAAACCTAACAAAGCATGTTTCTTCTTTGGTGGAAACATGCTGCCAGGTCCTGAACACACCATGGTGTAACATAAAAGCCTTTCCTGAACTCTGCACCATACACACTCACAGAGGATCTTCAGCACAGTTGCCCACTGCTCCACAGCAACTCCAACCACCTCTGCCTGTTTCAATTAAATAATGGTCCGTCCCTCTTTCCTGAGGCAAGAAAAAGGGGCAGCATTCACCTCACGGATGTGTTTGAGTCTCACAGGACGCTCCGTACGGACGCTTTTAGACACATGAATGGAGGGCCTGTGTGGTTCCCCCCAAAAGACTAAAGACTGTGTGTATAAGTGTGTTTGTGAGTATATGTGTGTGTATTCTGCAGGGGGCTGTTTGTTAGTGCATTCGTGGACTCTGTGCATGTGAGGGCCCCTCGCTGCTGGGCCTGAAAGCGTGTGCGTGAGCTAATCTCTTGACACAGTGATGTCTCAACAAATACAATGAAAACAAAAAGATGATTAAAAAAAGGGGGAGAGACATTCATTTTTTGTTTCTCCTTTTTTTTCTTTTTTGTTTGCTTCATTAGTTCTTTCTTACTTTTTTCTACTTTCTTTCAGTTTTTCTTTCTTTTTATCTTTCGTCTTTCAATGTTTTTGTCTTTCCTATTGAAAAGAGACGTTTTTTCAAAAAAGAATTATTTTAAAATTAAAGATGATGTATTGAAGGGAGACAGTGGAGATGTATTAGACTAAAGTTTATCCAGCTGTCAGACTGAACAACAAAAAGTGAAACCTCATGGAAAATATTTTTATTCCAGATTTTTTCTGTGCCTGAGTCACAACTGACATTAACCACACATGAATTCCGGAAACAACTATTAGCACAGGTTTGGATCAACAGAATCAGCAGGTTACCACCTCCTCTCCAAGTCAGAGTGTGTGTGAGTGTGTGTGTGTGTGTGTCATCATAATAATTCTCTTGGCTCACCATAAGGTGGTGATATTGGTGGTCTTACCTCCGTTTCCTTGAACCATACAAACTTTCCTTCTCTCGTCTCGTTCCAGCCTTTTGTCTCACTCTCCATCCTGTCTCCTGCATATTTATTTGTTGTCCTTTTTGGTTTCAGTTCCTGTCCTGCAGTGGTCACATTAAAACCTAGAGAAACAGACCAAGGTCATGGATAATTCAAAACCATACAATAATAATTATAATAATAATAATAATCATAATAATAATAATAATAATTTAAACTATTTATTTATTGATCCCCCACTTGGGAATCTCTTGTGTTGCAAATTTGCTGCAACAGGCTCCCATTGGAGGCACCAAGTACGTGGTTCCTCTAGGAAAGGACTACGTTCTCTCTGCTTTCGAGGGAGGCGTGCTAACCGCTCCATATCGACCTTGCTGTTACTCACTGTATACTGTCCTCTATTTGCACTGACTGGCCAAAAACACTTCACTTTTTTAGAAAACAAAAACCTAAATGTCTTTGATACAATTATTATTATTACCATTTATAGAGGTATATAAGGAATATAGCAAATTAAGCACCAAAAAAGAGATAAAACAAAAAAAATAATCAAATTACATTAAATTATATACAGCACCAGTTGTAAATGTGAAGTTCTGAAAATATTCAATTAAATAATTAACCTAACTTAATCTGAAAAATTCTTAATATTCTATTAAACGGTTTTACTCCTAGTTTCTGGGAGCACACTATGTCAACTGAAGTGTTCTGTCTTTGAGTCTACGTGAAAGCACACAGAGTCGAACTATTTCTTAGTAGAAAATGAAAAATGTTGTAGAGTGCAGTAATTTTTTTTTACCAGCAGAGGGAAGCAGAAAGCTGCTGATAAACACCTAAATACATGTGAATGTGTATTCTCAGTCTTGTTTCTCATCGATTATGAAACGGCTCCCTCCTGTGGCGTAAATAAGAAAATCACTCGATTACACAAAACGTAGCGTTAAGTTGTGTTAAAGTGTACCTTCCCTCCTGGTTGATATATTACAGAAAGCACGTAAAAGAACAAATTGTTTTTGATGCAGCTGTTTCCTGCGTCACTGCCTAGAAATGAACGCCTAAAAAAAGTCCGACTAATATATTATTTATAGTCTGTCTTATGACTCTTTAGAGTGAGTAACAATGATTAGCAGATCTACGTGTTTTAAATAACGTACAATGTCTTTAGATTCGTCCCTAAGACGTGTCTCTTTTTTTTCTCTACACGTGTTAAGTAACGTGTCTTACCTGGTGCAGAAGTAAACGCCGCAGAGTTAATGAGAGTTTGGTGGTGGCTCAGCTGTGGCCAAGCTAGCTAATT